GGAACGGAATGGGAGAGGAGCAGGCGGCGGGCACACTAAACCCCCCTACTAATTTTGAGCGCGGAATATAATAACAGCCCACACAGCCCGCTCCCGCCCGCGCTCCGCACGCGAAACCCTCAATCCCCGGGCCTCGCCCGCCCAGCCCCAGTATCACACGCACGACAAACGCACGCCGGCGGCGAGGCCCGGAGCGCGGCGCGTCATTGTGTGGCCCGGCCCGCGACAAAGCATATTGCAACATAAACGATGTTCCGCACACTCGACATCCGGGGTACCAACGACGCGAAAATAAACGCATTCAAGCCGAGCCTCGAGCCAAAGCTCGCGCCATACAGTTCTGCTCCCAGTTTTATTGCACTGGCGTCGGTGCAAAAGGAAATGCGGAAAAACAAAAACACCGGCGGAAGCAATATTCGTTAGGACGTTTTCATACCCATCACCCCTCCTCCGCCGACTAAGTCTCGTCACCGGCGCGGGTACTTTCTTCCGAGTCGGTACGGCCGATCTGACTCAGCTTAGACCGCGACCAGCAGGCGAGCCCCCATTGCTCACTGTAAATCCGGGGTGTCCAGCCAGCAACTGTGCGACTCAAGGTGCCCGACCCTAAAACCTGTGCGACTTGAGTCGCACAGCTTCTGAACACCTTTTGCTTTGGCAAACTTTTCCCTGCACAAGGGTCCATGCCAAGTCTAGGTAGGTTGTCCTGTATTTGGACACCCCCTGCTTGGGCCCCTCTGCAGCGAAAAGGGCACCAAACAACAAGGTGTCCAGCAGCTGTGCGATGACTCAAGTCGCACAGGTTTTAGGGTTGGGCACCTTAAGTCGCACAGTTGCTGGACACCCCGGATTTACAGTGTAGCCAGGCAGCCAGCTCCCTCTCAGAAATCGATTCGATGGCTCCAATTGCAGGCCGCACCCGGCCAGCGGCGGCGTCCGGCACGCCCCTCCGGGCTCTGCCCGACTCTGGCGCGGCTGATGTATGTTCCGCTAAGCTGCCGGCTTGGCATCCGTCCGGCGCGCTGGACTGGCCAGGCCAGGCCCGGCTACCACCACCGCCAAACAACACCATTCCCACCACCCCGCACCGCCCCTCCTATCCAACATGCTGTCGGCAACCCCGAACAACAGAGGCTGGCCGTAAAAGCTTGTAAGGAGAAAATCCAGCAGCGTCGGCCCCGGGGGGGTCCCGGGG